TGTCTGTCACAAAATTCCTGGGGAGATTAGCCTGCTGTGACAAAATACCCGAGAGAACCAACTTAAATGGAGGAAGAGCTTTATTTCGGCTCATGATCTGAGAGGTTTCAGTCCATGGTCCCGTGGCCCCTTTAGCTTTGGGCCGGCAGCAAGACAGCACACAGTAAAACAAAACTAGTTCACCCCATGGCAACCAGGAGGCAAAAGACGAGAGAAGAAGAGACTGGGGACAGTAGATCTATTTCGGGGGTACAACAGCACCTGCCTGGCAAACACAAGGTCCTGAGTTTTAATTCCTAGTATCCAGAAAATAAGTAAATAAAACAAAAATATTTCAGGGGTATATACTAGTGACCTAAGTTGCTCCTACTACGCCCTACCTCTTAAAAGGTTCCACCACCTCCCAGTAGCACCATAGGCTAGTGACCAAGTATTTAAACATACCAGTTTTTGGGGGATACTTTGCAAACCATAGCAAATATCAAGGATCAAAATTTCTCATTTTGTGAGGATAAAAGTACCCCATGCTAACAAAATGTGTTCTTATGAATGGTGGTCCTAAGTCTTTTGGTAGATGCAAAGTCCATGTTTGATATTCATTAACCCTCATTTTGGGCCTTCTGGGTGAAGGTGAAAAGTCTTAGAAATCACTTAATATATATTCTGCTAAGTTGTTTATTCTTCATATATTTTTCATCTCATCTGGGGAGCGAATGTATTTGTGAGAAAATGTACAGGAAGAAAAGTTTATGAGTTAAAAGCTGTCTGGAGAGAGTTTGAGGAGACATAGTTATGTTGTAGAATAGATTATAGAAACAAAGAGGTAGTTAGAACTTATTGCTGATTCTCATTTCTTCTTTTTTTTGGTCTTTTTGAGAGAGGGTCTCACTATCCAGTTCAGGCTGGGCTTGAGCTCACTCTGTAGCCCAGGCTGGCCTTGAACTCACAACAGTCCTCCTGCCTCAGCCTCCTGAGTGCTGGGATTACAGGTGTGTGCCACCATGCCCTGCTTGATTTTCATTTCTAAATTTGATGTGTCTTGGACATGGAGCAATATCATAAAGTGATTGAAAGCAATGGCTCCAGGGGCTGGGGATTTAGCTCAGCCGCAAAAGCGCCTGCCTGGCAAGTGCAAGGTCGTGAGTTCGGTTCCCGGTACCGGAGAAAAACCAAAAAACCAAAAAAAAAAAGCAATGGCTCCAAAAACAGGGATCAAACTTGTTTTCAAAACTGAGATTTTAACACTTACTAGCCATGAGTTATTAAATCTTTCTGAGTTTCATTGAGTTATCTTTTCCTCTTTGAGCTTTTTCTACTTTGTAAAATGGAGTCATCATTGGAACCATTACATCCCTCCTTTTAAGGTTGTTTTGGTAGTATTTGAGAAGTTTAGTGTACTGCCTAAATGCTCAGTGCTTAGTAAAATTAGCTGTTATAATCATTATCATCATTATTATTGAGTTCTCTTTTATCTTTAAAATATCAAAACAATTCTGGGTACTCAGTGTAGTTGAGACAGAGAAAAGGACGTTCCCTATGCATTAATATGGATACCTCTGTCTTTTTTGGGCTTTTATCTCTTTCTGTGGTAGGGCTAGAATGGGTTTCCCTTTTTGGAAACCATTGCTTTGGGCCATAATCTTTACATTTCATAATCTTTCCTTTTCAACTGACCTGAATCCATTTTATCTCGATTTAAATCTTGAAGAGTTTTTCCAGGAATATTGTAAGTTAGTAATTTTAAATTAAAGAAATGGGTTTACTTTAACTGTACAGTTATAAGCTAGCATTGTTCCAAGTTTGCTGTTTTAGTCTGTCCACCCTTGGATGCTAAGAAAACTTGAGTTCCAGATCTCTCTGGCAAAGAGATGGTTGTGTCATAGCCCTAGGATGGCCATGCATAGCCAAGCTTTCGCTAGATATCTGTTACCCATAGTTGGGTATTGTATTTCATTTTTCAAAAACTTGGAACAAATGTCAAGTTGTGTCAACCCCTGACCATTTCATCATTGTGTTCTGTTCCTAAATTGTGCCATGTTTACTTGCTGATATAAAGCAAAATGTTGTTAGCACCTTGTGGTCCATCATCTCTAATTTATTCCTTTTAGAGCCATTTTCAAAGTGATGAATTTGGTGGAATCAGAACCAAAGGCTTTATTTAGTCTCTTTGCCTATTTCTCCAGTGATGTTGGAACACATGAAAGACTCTTTTTTCCTTTTTTGGTCTTATATTTTTAAATCTTTAGCAAATATCCTTTCTAAGCTCCCAGCAAGATGCTTTAAAGCTAAAATCATTTCTGGTGGATTCCTGACTTTGAAATTGAAGTTTGATATTTTTCCTTATTACTAATAACTGCCTTTTGGGATACATTACTCTTTCCACCGTTTACTAATTGTTCTGAATGTCTTGGGTTTCCCTTCTCCCTCTAGAATACCCTAGCTTTGCTGCTGTCTAAGAATATAATTATATCATGTGGCTTCATCTCTCTGTATGTTATCTGTAAAATGAGGGGGTAGACTAGACAATTATCTCTAGTTTCTGGGAGTCATGGAATTGCTTCAACATTAAGTAGGCACATGTTTAGTTTTGTAAATGAAATAGCTGACCATTTCCCAAAGTACAGAATATTCCATCACATTCTGTCCAATCTGTTAGGATTCATGGGGAGGTCATAAAGTGCTCTGTGAAATGAGCGTTAATTTTTGCCAGAGTGTTCAAATCCAGGCTCCTCTGGTCATTAGCTGTGTGGCCCTGGGCACCTACTACCTTAACATTACTAATCTTCCATTTCTCTCTATGCAGAATGGGTATCTTTACATTGACTTTGTAGGATTGTTGCATATTAGAGATCATGCATTGTGCTTCACATAATCTTACTATATCCATATTAAATGTGTGCAGTAAATGTTAGCTACTATTATTATTACCTCTTCATTGAATCACCCTGCTACCTACCACCTGCTTCCAGTTTCTATGGTGAGTTTTGTCCTTCAGAAAAGAGATCTTGACATGAGGTGTGAATGGAAGAGAGGGTCTTGCTTTCAGCAAGCTGCCTTGATGGAATTAGGTCTGTTATAGGATATCTTTGAAAGCTTCTTTAATGAGCAAACCTGTATCTCCTTGCTATTTTAGTCTGTCCACTCTTGGATGCTAAGGAAACTTGAGTTCCAGATCTCTCTGGCAAAGAGATGGTCGCGTAATAGTCCCAGGATGGCCATGCATAGCCAAGCTTTCACTAAATACCTGTTACCCCTAGTTGTGTTTCTTCATTGTATTTCATTATTTAAAAACTTTTTACTTGTAGTAAAAAAATAGTGGTATAAAAGACACCATCCTTATAATTTTCTTGTATTTGATTTTAAGTTCCTTTTATGTCTATTTAGCTCCTTTTTCTGATCAAATTTAAGTATTAAATCAGTAATGAGAAGGGCCGGAGATATAGTTCAGAGGCATAAGCACCTGCCTGGCAAGCGCAAGGTCCTGAGTTCAATTCCCGGCACACACACAAAAAAATCTGTAATGAGATAGTAACTGTATATCCCCCAACCCCCACTCCAAAGTAGCAAGACCTGTCAAAACAGTTAGTTCCCTCTGGATTTAGACTTACGAGATTGGGCTTAATTTATGATAAAGAACAACAATAACAAAACAATCTTTCTTTTCTTTATTCTTTTTTTCCTGGTATTCTCAGTTTTATGTTTGGAAGTATCCAACTGCAGAAGGGTGGGTGGGGGCAAGGACAGAGGGGAAATAGGCAGATGAATTTGCAGTTTCCATTGCTCCCAGGGTAGGCTAGGAGCTGTGAGCACAGACTGGGCAGTGGCACAGTGGAGGGAAACCACACCACCCGGGCGAGTGTCTGTGTATTTATCATATGCCAGGCCTCTTGTTATGAGTGTAGGCTACTCACAAATGCTGCTGTTTCTAGAGCTGCTGTTTCTCAAGTCATCCAGAGACCTTTGGAATCAAGGGGAAGCCTGCCGGTCCTTTCTGACCTTCATATAGTTTCTTTGTTCTAGATGGAGGAGAATGTGCCATTCCCTGGAAGTAGCACCTACACTATCTGATTATTGCCAGTCTTAGCTTGGTTATAAAGTGCCACTTATTTTTGGGGATGCCAGAACTGAAAGTATGAGGTGAAACTTCTACTTCCAAAGGGATGTTTCCTTAAAAGTAGTCTCTTTGAGAGGCTGCACTTTTATTTAAATCGTGCTCAAAAACAGCTTTGAAATTGCCTTTCTAAAGCTGCCTTCACCACCGGTGACATGCTTTCTAATGATATCTGTCACAGTAAAGTTTCCCCTGGATGGACAGCTTAGTTCTTGCAAATGGCCTAAAGTTATCTGGGTCGAATATGATGGCTAAGTTAGAGGATCATATAGCACAGCACCATTTTTAGTCACAGGCAGAACTTTGAATGAACCAGTTTTCTTTTCAAAGTCAGCCCAGCTGAATGTCAGCGCTGCTTGATGATAGGTGAGAACAAAATTTGGGGAAATAAAGCTGCGCGGGAATTTACCACTGCATCCTTATCACGGTGATAGCACCTTAATTTGGCACCAAGGTCTCAGAATGCATTTGGAGAGTAGCTTTTGTGCATTAGAGTAATAAATGCCCTTCTGGGTCAGAACAATGCCAAAGACTGATAGTGGCATCATAAAAGTATTTAGTAGGAAAATACTGTACTGTATAGTTGCTTATTGTAGAATTTCAGATTTCTTCATATAATGTAGAAATCTTCCCAATTTTTATATGTTAATTATTATTATTATTTTAAATAACATGCCTTCTTGTTAGTATCTTGGTACAGCATCACAAGAGCAAAGGTCATGTGTGTCCTGTTTTCCCACTATATCCCAAGGCCTCGCAAAATAGGAGCTAACACATAATAAGAACTCAGCAAATATTTGTAGAATAAATCTATGCATTTATACTTAGTAGCACTCTGTATGAAGCTTGGAATGGAAGGGTAATGTGTTTATTTTTCTGTCTTTTACAGTTGTCAAATTTAAAAGTTTTGAATCACTCCCCAATGTCTGATGCCTCTGTCAATTTTGACTACAAATCCCCATCCCCGTTTGACTGCAGCACTGATCAGGAAGAGAAAATTGAAGATGTTGCCAGGCACTGTCTGCCCCAGCAGGACATATACACTACTGAAGAAGAAGCTGACACCCTTTTCCCTAGGAAAGTGACATCCTGCAATGGGACAGAGGATAGTGGAGGCGGAGGTACTGGAGTGAAGAAGAAACGGAAGAAAAAGGACCCAGGAGAGCAAGGTGGTACAGCAAAGGGAAACAAGGACAGGGAGCCCAAGCCAAAGAGGAAGCGAGAACCTAAAGAGCCAAAGGAACCCAGGAAGACCAAGGAGCCGAAGAAGGCCAGGGAGCCCAAGGAGCCCAAGCAGAAAGATGGAGCAAAGAAGGCGCGCAAGCCCCGAGAGGCCTCTGGCACCAAGGAGGCCAAAGAGAAGAGGAGCAGTGCTGACTCTGCAGCCAGGACAAAGTCCAAGAAGGCCAGGTGTATATCTTCTTCCCTCCCCCGAGCCCTTGCTTTTACCTCCATGGAGTGGTTTGCTTTTGGCATTAGCCTGAGTTCCTGGGCATAACTTTCCTCTACTCCTGTTGGCTAAGCTTCGTACCTCACTTGTATAAAGTGAGGGTTGGGGGTAACCACAGGCACCAATGCAAGGGGCAAACCCCAGAAGTTACTATTTTCTAATTGCATTCCTGGAGTTACAGTGCTTCAAAAACATTTGTGGTTTTAGGGTACTCCAAGAATTCCCCACCTTCTTCAGACCCCAGCTGTCCAGTTTGGTTTGTGTTCTTAGTATTTAGCATTTTTGTTTGGTTGTTGGTATCCTGCCTTGTGCCCCTGCATGCCATTTGATGTGCTCTCTGTGTCCATGTTAACCTTCAGCCAAAAAAAGAACTTCTTTTCTTACATCCTAGTGAGAAAAATGACCTTACTATTTGTTGGCCATGCAATGTCTTGCTATACCTTTTGGACTAAAGAGAATTAAAATGTTGGTATACACAGAGTGTAAGGGGTCATCTCAGGCCTGATAGAGGGAGGCCAGAGATTTTTAGATCTAAGCAGTGCTGAGGTAGAACGTAAAGTTGTGGGTGGGAATCAGTGGTGCAGTGGCCTGGCGGAGCCATGGATGTGTGCAGAGTTCCATATCTGAGAGCAGTGACTCCCAAGGCTCTAAGCTTGGAGAACACGACCATAAGTTCAGTGTTTGGCACAGTGCCTTGCCTTTTTATAGCTGCTCAGGAAATACTGAGTAAATGAGGCCTGAGGATACCGTAGTGACTTGCAGAGGTCAGAGGCCTGGGTACACATTGACTGCAGAGTGGGTGGTGTAAAAGACCTTATCTGGATAGCAGTGCATTTCTTAAATAGGAAATTTGTTATCTGTCTATATACCAGTCTAATTTCTCCTTCTAAATTTTTTGAACAAGACATTATATTTAAGCTTTTGAGGAAATATAAAACAAACAATGTATCACACATATATCTCAAGGAGTGAAAATTTCTGAAATCTAAGTGCAAAGGCAGGATACCTCTATCTGTGTCTGTCTCATCTATTGTGTCAGAACAAGAGCACTTAAAATCTCAGCAGTTGTGAATGCTAGGAGAAATAATAAAATGAGACCTTCACTCCTATGTTGGGGCGGGCACAAAGGAGGTAAGTTTTAAAGAGAAAGCATTTTTAGTGCTGTGTGTGGCAACTTGGCATCTGCTATGTAGTTCATTTCTTCTTTAGGACAGTTTGTTAGGACCAGATGGATAATTTCCTAATCCAAGCTGTTTTTGCCCCTTAATATTCACTATATTCTGCCTGGCAGGGTATTTCATCTTTTGACAAAGAGATTTGAGGGTAGAGGTGGGGCGTGGTTTTCAGAGTGTGACCATAAAATGCCATATAATGCAGAAGGCTGAGAGGTAGGCAGAATTAGGGTTCTAACTTATGAAAATCTTACGGACATTGTTTCTCAGTTAACATAAGAACATCCATTCTCAGTATGTGAAAAAGGTGACAGAGTGACTTTTGGACTTCAGCCAATAACTTTCACCTCCATATTACTTTGGAAGAGCTGAAGTTTCTTTAGGGTAGTAGCATATTTGAAGAAGGAGAATCAGATCTTAGCTAGTGGAGTTGTTGTTTTAGTTTTATGAAGAACAGAAAGGAATCAGGATAGTATTTGAGAACTAGGATAATCAGAGGATGTTTTACAGACTTAGTAAGTGTCTGGCTTGGTATGAAAGGCAGACACCCGTAGGTATCTGAGCTCACTTAGCCATTGATCTCTGATGCTTACAGTTTTATTGAACTTGAACTCTTCTTAAAGGAATTCACATTTACATTATATGAGATAGGGGCTGGGGATTTAGCTCAGCGGCACAGCACCTGCCTGACAAGAGCAAGGTTGTGAGTTCGATTCCTGGTACCGGAAAACAAAAAAACAAACAAAAAAATCTACTACCTTATATGAGATATAACACACAGTGATAATATGCAGACTTTGTTACAAGTTCCAGTTTGGGGGAATGAGGAACTGTTTCACAAAACAAGATTGGGTGTCTGTGTATAGGTGGAATTGGGATTCTGAAAATGAAAACTTACAGGCTTTGTTATATATACATAGTAATTAGAGGACCCTGATTTTGTTCTAATTAGGCTGAATAAAGCAAATGAATTGGAGAAATGCTTGTAGTGTTTTTGAGGACTGTTAGAGGACACCAGGAGATTTTGAGTTTTAAAACTCAGAAACCTCCTTTGAGAGGAGGCTGACATATAGACAGGGAAGCCATCTCTTTAGAAATGTGGAGAAGTTACACAAGCTTTTCTCTCTCTTTATTGTGGGGCTGTATGATAAGTTGACCTAATATAGTAGAATTGACCTAACATAATTCTTGTGTGTAGCCCAGATAGGGTTCTAGAATGGCTAGGCTTTGATTTCTTTTCCTTCTTCGTGTCTTTAGAAAATTATTTCAGTTCCTTTAATTATTCCACTGGTCAGAAGAACCTGCTTTACTTATGAAAAGTTGTTAATGATTTTTAAAAATCTGCTAGCTATTGCAGGCTTTTTTTTTTTTTTTTTTTGTCTTTTTGAACTCACCCTGTGGCCCAGGCTGGCCTTGAACTCACAATGAATGATCCTCCTGCCTCAGCCTCCCGAGTGCTGGGATTATAGGTGTGTGCCACCACGCCTGGCTAATCTGCTAGTTATTAAACCTCAACTTTTTGTACCCTTTGATTTGTTCTTTTCTTGAGGGTGAGGTGAGACCGCATCTCACCATGTAGGCTGGCCTTGAACTCACTGTCTGGTATAGGCTGGCTTCGAATGTGCAGCAGTCCTCCTGCTTCAGCCTCCTGAGTACTGGGATTACAGGCATGTGCCGTCACGCCTGATGATTGGCTCATGTACGTGTTTTGATTTGGGCAGTTACTGATTTAGACTCTGGGTAATACTTGATGGTGGTAAGTGGTTCATCAAATGCTTGAATTACTGTAGAAGCTGCACCTCTGATGTACAGCCTTTCAGCCTTTTCCCTCCTTCAGTCCAGCGTGCCAGCTGCCACCTAGCCAGTGTTTCTGAAATGGTGTTGTTACTTATGACAGCTGGTAGGGGTAGTCATAAATCAGATCCTTTTTCCCCCCCTCTGTTTGATTCTGAATCATTTGAGAATAGCTAACAAGGAAGGAGACCAGTTATTAGGTTAATTATTGATAAGCTAGATTGAAGACTTTACATTGTCTTGTGCTCAATCTAGGCTTCTTGTTACTCCCTCAGTTGAGCTTATCCACCAGAACTATAGGCAGTGGGGATGCTGAGCAAGGCATATGCTGTTCCTTTTCCTAGGTTTACAGTTGACTGTGTCCTCAATTAAAGAAGAGAAATGATTTGAATAGAGAAGAAAATGTGTTTATAATATTGGTCCTTCTTTGGAAGTAAAACATGCTTTTCCTTATGAAAACATAGGGGCAAAAAAATGAGGTTCTAAAAACTAATGGAAGCTGGGCATGGTGGCGCATGCCTACAATCCCAGCGCTCGGGAGGCTGAGGCAGGAGGATCGTTGTGAGTTTGAGACCAGCCTTGGCCACAAAGTAAGCTGAAGGCCAGCCT